AATGAGCGAGGAAGAGTTAAATGTGCTTCGGGCACAACTCGACGACCTTCTRGAGAAAGGCTGGATTCGGCCTAGCTCATCGCCATACGGTGCTCCTGTTCTCTTCGTCCGGAAGAAGAACAAGGACCTGCGGTTGTGCATCGATTATCGCAAGCTCAACGCGCAGACGATCAGAAACGTCGTCCCTCTCCCACGCATCGACGACCTTCTCGAGCGATTGGGTGGCGCCCAGTTCTTCTCTAAGCTGGATCTCAAGTCAGGGTACCACCAACTCGAGATTCGCAAGGAGGATCGCTACAAGACCGCGTTCAAGACTCGGTATGGGCATTTCGAATGGCTGGTCATGCCATTTGGCCTTACGAATGCCCCAGCCACTTTCCAAGCGGCTATGACGACGGAGTTCCGACACATGCTGGATCGTTTCGTACTTATATACCTCGACGACATTCTTGTTTACAGCCGGAGTCTGGACGAGCATGTGGAACACCTGTGCACCGTTTTGGAGCGGCTACGACAGGCCAAGTACAAAGCAAACCGCGACAAGTGCGAGTTCGCACAGCAGGAGCTGGAGTACTTGGGACACTATGTGCTGCCGCAAGGCATCCGTCCGCTTGCGGACAAGATCGAGGCCCTACGAGTATGGCCCGAGCCCACCAACACCACGGACGTTCGTTCATTCATGGGGTTGGCGGGCTACTATCAGCGATTCATCACCGGATACTCCAGGATTGCTGCACCTATGAGGAGGTTACAGTCGCCAAAGGTGCCATTCGTATTTGATGACGACGCACGCTGGTCATTCCAAGCACTTAAGACGACTATGCTCATGGCACCCGTCCTTAGCATTTATGACCCCACCCTGCCGACGCGAGTGACTACGGACGCTTCCGGCTATGGCATTGGGGCAGTCTTGGAACAACACGACGGCGACGACTGGCACCCTGTGGAGTATTTCAGCCGCAAAGTGCCTCCCATCAACTTGCTTGATGATGCAAGGAAGAAGGAGCTGCTCGCATTCGTGATGGCTCTCAAACGCTGGCGGCACTTCCTCCTTGGGCGTCGTAGGTTCACATGGATCACAGACAACAATCCATTGACCTACTACAAGACGTAGGACACGGTGAGCAGCACGATCGGACGATGGATGTACTTCATCGACCAATTTGACTTCACACCAAAGCATGTCCCCGGCCTCTCAAATCGCGCAGCAGATGCACTCTCGCGAAGACCTGATCTTTGCGCTATGACACATCATGCCTTCGCATTCGACGAGGAGCTTCAGTGACACTTCATCCGGGCATATGAGTCTGATCCGGACTTCGGCACGCTCTATGCACAACTATCTTCGGATCACCCGCCGGCCAGCCATTACCACATTGCCGACGGGTACTTGTTCCTCCACTCGAGAGGCAAGGACTTACTATGTGTCCCACGCGACCGTCGTCTTTGGACTCGCCTCCTCGGTGAGTACCATGTTTCACGACTCGGCGGCCATTTCGGAGTCAACCGCACTATTGCACGACTTCGACAGCGATTCCGATGGCCCGACCTCATTACCGATGTCACTCGGTATTGTGACTCTTGCGAAGTTTGCCGACGCAGCAAGCCCCGCAACCGCAATCCCTATGGCGAGTTACACCCGATGCCTATCCCACGGGAACCCGGTCTCTCCATTGCCATGGATGTCACCGGTCCGTTTCCTCGCGACCAGCTCGGGCACGACGGCATCCTCACGGTTGTGGACCGATTGAGTAAGTACGCGCGTTTTCTCCCTTGCAA